CCATTAGCCCCGCCCGGGGAGGAGAGCCAGGGCTGCCGCTGAGCCTCCCTAGGGGCCAGGTGGACCAGCGGGGTCGGATGGAAGGAGCAGAATCTTGGAGGCAGAGTGGCCTGTGGACGGGGCTGTGAAGAGGAAGGAAGCTGAATGTAGGCGAGAGGAAGCCAGCTACCGTGGGTGTGGCTGAGGACGCCCGGGCAGAGGAATGAGACAAAGAACAGCCGAGGCTCAGAGGACAGCCGCTCCCCACGGCCCTCCCTCCTGAGCTGCTCGGAGTCAGTGAGATGGTTTCGAGCGGTGGACAGAGCAGGGCTCTCACATGCACAGGCCCCTAGAGCGTGTCGGGGCCAGCGAGGAGTCTCAAAGCCTGTGTGACGCCACCCTGTTAGGGGAAGGAGCCACCCACAGACCGGAATGCCCACGTCACTTCCCAGCAGGAAGGAGCTGGGTGATGCAAGCTGAGATTCAGGCCCCGGCCCCAGCGCCTACCACCCAGGGGAGCCCACGCACCGGCGTCTGGGAGGAATCCAGGGCCACCCAGGGTGGCTGGCAGCACTGGTCCTTTCTGGCCTACTGGCCTTCCTGCCGTGCCTCAAACACACCCACACCCTCGGGCATCTGCCCTCAGGGGCTCCAACCCTCCTCCCACACCCATCCTCCTACAGGCCTCCCCAGCGCCTCCTCTCAGCATGCCCTTCCGCAGAGACCCACAGGGGTAGCCCTCATCTCGGGAGGCCTGTGCCTTGTTGTCAGACGCTGCGTCCTTCAAAGGGCCTCTCAACCGCTCTATGAGAGTGCCCGCTCTGCAAGCTGGGCCCCACCTCTTGGCTTTCCTCTTCCCTGTCGGAGCCCTGGGCATTAGCACTCGTCTACTGTCTCTCCTGCTGCAATGCCAGTCTCACTCGCTGCTGCCTCACCACATCTAGGACAGGGCCGGGCATGCCGTAGGGGCTTCAGTCGCTGTGCAATGAGTGAATAAATAAGTGTGTGAATGCCTAAGTGCACAGACTCTGGCTAGACTGCCTGGGGTCTCGTCCCAACCCTTCCACTTACTGTGTGATCTTTGACCATTACCAAACTTCTCTGTGACTCGATTTAATTCATCAGTAAAAGAAGAGGTACCAGAGTTCCTACCTCAAAGGAGCACTGAGGGGTTAAATGAGGTCATACATAGGAAGCGTTTACCACAGTGCCTGGGCCCAGGCAGCACTCGGTTCCTGTCCGTGCCATCACTGCCTTTGCATGCTCACATTTCTGCTTTCTTTTGGTTTTAATTTGCTATAAGGCGTGTGTACCCACCAGAGACAGAGATCAAGAGACAAGCAAAGTGGGAAATCGCCCCCTGGGAGATGGCCGTGCTACAATCGCTTTTCTGCCACTATCCTCTCGGGAGTTTAGGCACACACTCTGGCCATGATTTTTAAGCCATTGGGTCTGGGACTCGAACCGCCCAGTTGGCCACGTGGGATCCAGTGCGTCAACCTCCATGCCACCTGCAGGCCAACGATTCTGCTTATTTACTGCTCACTTGTTTCCCACCTGTCTCCCTCCGCTCCAGGGTCACTCCAGCCTGCCCTGCTCACCGCCGGCCCTACAGTCCCTAGCATGGTGCCACGGAGAAAACTGGGCTTCCTCCCAGGCCCGGGAATGGAGCTGGGGTGCCACGTCTGTGGGAGAGGGAGCCTCACCGATCTGCTTCTCCAGGGCAGCTGCTTCACAGACAGTGGCCCGGGGCAGGATCCCGGGGTCGGTGAAACTCGTCTGCAACAGGCAGCTCATGACGAAAAAGAAGAGGATGGCAGCGATGATGGGGATGGCGAGGGTCAGTTTGCGGGCCAGGTAGGGACAGCTAGAACGAGAGACGGAGAGAGAGGTCAGCAGACACCCAAGGGCTCCCTGGGGCTCAGGGCTGCGGCACCAGGCAGACGCCCAGATGCCGTCCTCCCATTACTGAACAGAGCCTGTCCCAGAGGCAGGGGCTGCTCTTTGGTGAGGGCAGCCACTCCCCAGGAGGTGTTTGAAACGAACATCACTAACTGATGCTTGCACTTTCCCCCTGCCCAGGGCAAGGTGATGAACAGATCCCAGCACACTTGAGCCCTGTACGTGGCTGCAGTCTCACAGCCCCGCTAAACTCGGAGCTTTGGCGACGCTACCATTAAGCAGACTGTTACTCGAAACGCACCCAGGCAGTGCTCGCTCACTCTCTCTCCAATACTTACTGAGGTCTGCTTAGTGGCAGGCAACACCTTCAGGAAGCCGCAGAAATAATGGCAGTGAGTAAGAGCAGTCCCCTCCCCGTGCGTAAGGTTGGGATCAGCCACACACAGCGAGGGGAGCGCCAAGGGGAGGGCAAAGCAGTGGCCATCAGAATAGGGTCAGAAAAGGTCCTGAAGGAGACGACATCTGTGCTAAAAGCTGGAGAATGAGTGAGCGATGAGGGAAGGAGACGCTCCAGACGCTGCCCTCACCCAAGGAATGGCATCCCCAAGGGGGAACTCAGACCCAGATCCCAGCTGGCCTGGAGAACAGCCTCCTCTGCCACCGGGTGGGCTGCCTACCGGGCTCCCAAGTCCCTCTCCAGTCCCCTCCTCCCTGTTAGGGCTGGGACGCGGAAGAAGTGTGGCTTCATGACCAACCTGCTACCGGGAGCTGTGCACACCAGTCAGGTCACGTCATCTCCCTCTTCAAACCTTCCGAAGGCTCCCTTCACATTCCGAATAGAACCCAAACCCCCGACCACGGCGCTGGGCCAGGAGCGACCCGGACCCTGCTGGAGACCGCCGCCTCACTCCAGGACACTCTCCCTGGCCCTCCCACCTGAGCCTTGGTACTTGCTCCTCCGTTTCTCTGGAAAGCTCTGTCCCCCAGAAGGGCCTTCCTTGACGATCTCTGAGCATGTCCCCATACTCCAGTCCCTGCGGGGTGCGTACTTGACACAGCAGTGGCCTGTCTGCCGGGCGCCGTCTCCCATCCGAGAGCAGCCCTCCGAGGTGGACCGTGCTCCCGTGGCTGCCCTTGCACTCCCGGCTCACCGTGCAGCACCCGGAATCCAGAGGTTGCCCAGGAAATCACCGTGAGATGGTTTTAACTGGTGTTTGGAGACAACACTAGCCACTGTCCTGTGAAGGCTTACTGAGTGGCAGGTGCTATGCCGAGCACTTCACTCGGACCTTGTCATCAAAGCCTCACTGTGCGGGGGCCTGGCAGGTGGCGTGGTGGTTGAGGTGCTGGACTGCCACAGGGCTGACCACAGTTTGAGTCCCGGATGTGGCCACTTACTTTCTCACCTTCTCTCTCTCTGGGAAGTGCACATCCCCAACAGCAAATTAGAAACAATAACAGCGGGACTGGCAGATGCTGTGGTGGTTAGGGCACTGCACTCCCACATGACGGGCTGCAGTTCGAGTCCCAAACTTGGTGGCTTACTTTCTCACTTTTCCTTTCTCTCTGTCTCTCTGGTCAAATTAAAGGTAATAATAAATTAGAGACCAGCAGTTAGCATAATGGCTATGTCACTGGACTCCCATGTAGTCAACTGGGTTCAAGTCCTGGACCCAGCAGCTTAAACTCAGGCCGGTCACGTGTGCCTGCATGCCCAAGATCCTGAGAGGAGAATGGAGGAGAAGGGATTGCGGCGTGGCCATCCCCACTGGGAGGTGATTTCTCGCTTTCTGTCTCTGTCTTTCTGGCAAGTGCATGTGCCCTATAGCAAAGGAAAAAAAAAAAAAAACTCTCCAAAAACAAAGGAATAATAAATTAAGTAAATTATTATTTTAAAAATAATAGTAATTAATGAAATTAAATAATTCTTAAAAAAAAATCCTCCCTGTGACCCTCAAAGTTTTGCTCCTCAACACAGATGAGGAAACTAAAGCTCAGCGCTAAGCTTGCCTGAGGTCATGTGAGGTCACGCAGCTCAGGCATAATACAGGGCCCTGGGCCAGGTCTGACCTGAGGCCTGAATCACCTTCCTACCTGTCCTCCCAGAGTCAGGGTGCCCCACCCTGCCGGACTCCTGGCCATTGGAGGCCTCAGCTCAGCTGGGGTGCTAGGAGCTGGCACAGATGCAGGGAGCAAGCCTGTGGGCATCTTTATGCTGTTCCAGAAGCCTCCATCCTCAGATGCTCTGGTCTCCACAGAGGCCCCTCCCCTGAGGAGCAGAGGAGGTCAGAGCCCGGGGGCCCAGCAGGCGGCACTCTCCCACACAGCTCAGCCCTCCCCAGGTCTGACCTCGGGAAGCCAGCTGGGCCCTCTGCCCCCCACCCGCAACTCATCCGGTGCATGAACAGCCATATTTCTTAGGAGACAGGAGACTTGACGCATGAGACTAGAGAGCCTCCAGGAACCAAGTCCCAGCCTCCTGACTTCCCTGGGCCCACAGCCAGACACAAGGTCACCCAGCAGCCATGGGCAGCACTGGGGTCTCCCCGCAAATGCTCTGTTCACTCCTTTGTTCAACAGATATTTAGTGTACTGAACTACCACACACCATGGACCTGGCCGTAGCCACTAGAGATACAAGTGAGACACGGTGGCGTGGCGGCTAAGGGCTGGACTTCCACGTGGCTGACCAGGGCTCGAGTCCTGGACCAGAGGCTTGAAAATCATGGTGGGTATGTGTGCACATGTGCCCAAAACCCTGCGAGAAGGGAGAAAAGGGGTCCCGGTGTGGCCATCCTGTCACAGGGGTAACTTCTCACTTTTCCTCTTTCTCCAGCGACAGGGCACACACCCTGTGGCGAAAACCTCAGAAAAAGGAAAGAAGGGAGGACAATGTCCTGCTCCCCTGGACAGACAGGCAGGAAGCGGACCAGGACGGCGATGCCCCGGAGGCGGGAGCCAACCTGCCTTTCACACAGGCCCTTCTCCTGCCATGCTCCCTAACCGTGCAACCACGACTTCCAGGCATTTACGCTGGGCTAGGTGTAAGTTCCCTGACGATGATGTCAAGTATCTGCAAGGGTCAGCTCTGGCGAGGCAGTGGTAACCCACCATTCTAGATGCCAGAGCCACATGGGCGGTCCTGGGCATGCATGTGAGTCTCCCTGGGCATGCATGTGATCCTGCCCACTGGGGCCAGGGTCGACCATGCGGTGAAGACCATTAGGGATCCCTGCCTCTCTCCCTCTTTTTTTTCTTTTAGAGATTTTTGCTACAGGGTGCGTGTACTCACTGGAGAGACAGAGAGAGAGAACATGAGAAATGGCCACGCTGCAATCCTTTCTCCTCCATTCTCCTTTCGGGATTTTGGGTATGCACATACACACACCTGGTGTGAGTTTCAGGACTCAAATTGTGGTCGGCCTTAGCCACTATGCAACCTGCTGGTCCCTCTCCCGCTCTTTCATGAGAGTAAGAGGCAGAGAGGGGGGGAGGGAGAGAGAGAGAGAGAGAGATGGAGGGAGAGAGAGAGAGAGAAGAGAGAGAGAGAGAGAGAGAGAGAGAGAGAGAGAGAGAGAGAGAGAGAGAGAGAGAGAGAGAGAGGAACCCTCAACAGAGCCTCAGACTCCAACCCCCAGCCTTTCCAGCCAGCCAGGGTCCTGAGTGTTCATGCCAAACGTGCACAGGTGAATCAGGAACTGAAACTGACACCCTCCACGAGGACCCAGCACCACTCAAGCAAGAACTAGCTGCACGAAGCTGGCCGATAAACTTGAAAATAAAATAGGATAAACTATCCGGGAGGATGTGTGTAGGTTTTGCACAAATACTGCACCACTTTATGTAAGGGACTTGAGCATCCTTGGGAGCTGGTACCCACGGGTGGGAGGATGTCCTAGAACCAAACCCATGCAGATCCCAGAAGACAACTGCAGAGAGTAAGGATACCAGTGTGTCAGAGACCAACGGCTAAGGCTAGTGGAGAGGCAGGATGGAGGGGAGTGCTTTGCTTCGTTATCAGAGAGACGGGGAGGGGCTGATGAAAGCCAAAGTAAGCCAGGAGGCTACCAAAGGGAGGGTGTTGGAAATGAGCAAAGGCCCCAGAGGGGTGTGTGAGGAGGCATGTGCCTAGAGGGGGCTGCAGGACAGGAGGAGGGGACCCAGCGGAGGGGCCGGAGGAAGCCGCTGTCAGAGCTCTGGCTCTCACCCTGACAGGACTCAGAGGTGACTTAGAATTGAAGGGGCACCCTGGCCCTGTGTGAGTGGAAAGTGGGGCAGAGCAGGGAGCGCTGCAGGGACGCAGGCCTGCTCACCAAGCCACCGAACAACCAAGCAGCACCATTTCCAGTAGGAAAGGCCCCAGAGAGCCACCTTCACCTTCCCCAGAGCAAGGGGGTGTGACCAGCCCTGCCCGCACCGCCAGCTGTTCCCACTCTGCCCGGTCCCTGCTGGGGTTTAACCACAGTCCAGACCAGGGAAGCTCTAGGCTCAAACCCAAACCCTCCTGCCAAACCCCCCACCCCAAGACAGGGTGGGCAGAAACGAAAGGCAAGAGGAGTCACAGTTCTCTCCAACCCCAAGTTCAGCTTCCTCCCTTGACGGGGATAACTCTCACCAGGGGTGATACCCACTCAAGCCAGAGGAGGTCCTGCCTCAGAACTGACCGACTCGCCCCACGTGGTCGCGGGACCAGCCACAGCAAGCACAGCCCCCGCAGCCTCGTCTGCAGCCCCAGCCAGAGCGCTGAGAGCGGCCTGGGCCTTGCAGGGAGAGGCACTTCCAACACACCCACAGGGAGGTCCCGTGAGGAAGATCTGAAACTCAGCCCCAGGGCCGAGGTGGCTGAGGTCCCCCAGAGCTCCTGCTTGTGAACCGCTTCCCACCCACACTGACTTAGGGAGGAAGGGCAGGTGTTTGCTGGATGGTGAAAAGGAGAAGCTAAATAGGAAGTCTTCACCCTGCTTC